GTATGTGGGATCCGAACCCTCAGCGGGACCGCTGCCGCACTTCCCAAGCGGCGTACTGTAGCAGTGCGCCACCGGGCCGGCCCAGAACCACTTTTTTTTTACAGAGAAATTTATTTATTTTTTAACTGCATAGATTCTTGATAATGTCTACTTTTTGGAAAAAAAAAATTTTAAATACAAGCCAAGCTTATGATATAAAGTATTCCTGTGATCAGACCTTTTGAGAATCCTCCCATAAACTTAATAATTCATCTTTTTTGCTGTGGTTAACCCTAAGTTTCTGCTATTAGACTTGTCTGTAAATGGGCCACTTGAACTGTTGACCACTAGAGGGCAATTTAACCACAATTCCTAAAAGCAAGAGTTGGTCCACTGCACTTACCAAGTCTTACAGACCTGGTTATAAACTCTGCAATTTATAAAGTCTTCCCTACCCCTTCATGCCACATTTAATACTTACTGTTCATACTACTCTTTAGCATTTAATCCTATACTTATTTGCATTTTATTTAACTTCACATGTGTATAAATCTTATTTTTCAAGAGCAGGAACTCTGCTTTCTCTTTATATCACTCAGCCTAGCATAGTTCTGTTCAATGTCATTTCCTAAAATAAATGAATGAATGGAATCAGTGGTTTGGAGGTGTGTTTTAAGGTAAAACTCTTTAATCTGTTTTATCTATTAAAATTTTAAATGTGCACACCCTTTGATCTAGTAATCCTACTTATATTCTCATCTACAGGAATATTTGTACAATTATATAAAGATATAGGTGCAAGAATGCTCACTAAAGCATTGTCTGTAATAGGTTAAAAAAAAAAAAGAAGTAACCTAAATGTCTATGAGACTGAACTGAAGAAGTAAAATATGGTGCACCCAAACAATCAAATACTATGCAGCCATTAAAAAGAATTGGGTAGCTCTGCATGTACTTGTCTGGAAAGAGTCAAAACACAGTACATAAAAATGAAACAATGACTAGAAGTGTGTGTTTGCGTGTGTGTATCTATTGGTCTCTAGTCATACAAAAACTCTGAAAGTCTGGAAGTAAACACAGCAAAATATTAACAATGTGTATCCTATAGGGCAAGGATCAGCAAACATTTTTTGTGAAGGGCCAGATAATATTTTAGGCTTTGTGGGACATCAGTGTCTGAAGCAATCAATCCGTTCTGCCACTGTAGCATGACAGCATCCATGAATGAGTGTGGCTGTGTTCCAATAAAACTTTATTTATGGACATTGAAGTGTGAACTCCATATAAATTTCATTTGTCACAGAATATTCTTTTTTTATTTTTTTCAACCATTTAAACATGTAATGACCATTTTTAGTTCATGGTGACAGACTGGAGTTGGCCTGTGGGCTGCAGTTTGCCAGCCCCTGCTGGACAGGATAAGCTGGGAGGAGTCAGGAAGGGAACTTCTCACCGAAAAAAGTGATGGGATTATGTGTGAGTGTTACTTTCTGTGTTTTCTCTCTTTCAAATAAAAATAAAATCTAAAATAAACGAAAAGGTGAGATCACCAAATCCCAGCCTCAGAACAAATAAACATCAAAGAACTGCAGGCTTGTACTCACCTTTTCCTTTGACCTCACAGTGATCAGAGAGCTCCCAAACCTTGAGCTTGCCTGGAAAACATACTCTGTTAATAGGCTTTTGGGAACATACCATAGTATTTTCTTATTTTAAAATAAGGAGAAAGAGCATTTTTTGTAGTTGTTTTTGTTTTTGTTTTTGTTTTTTCATTCTTTCAGGAGATACTTACTTCAGGAGAAATCAATATGTATTGGGCCTGAAAAAAAAAATGGGAAGAAAGGGAGGCTATTAATATTATTATCATTTGTGTTTAATCTTAACAGTTTTTTCATTCTTTCAGGAGATACTTACTTCAGGAGAAATCAATATGTATTGGGCCTGAAAAAAAAATGGGAAGAAAGGGAGGCTATTAATATTATTATCATTTGTGTTTAATCTTAACCAATTTTAATTACACTCACATTTGTACATTTCTTGATCAGCCTTACAAATGTGCATACCCTGTGTCCCCAGAAATTCTATTTTTAGGAATATGGCTCAGAAAAATAATCAGATGTACAAAAATGTTTATATGTGAATATTTATCATATTAATATTTATAACAGTAAAAATTGGAAATGGCCTGTGACTAATAATAGTCACTTAAATAAACTATGATTTGTCTTTAGATAAAATACTAGGCAGCCAGGAAATATTATATAAGAATATCAGATAGAAAAATGTTCTTGATTTTGTGCTGTTAAAAACAAACAAAAACAAAAAAGGTTCTTGATATATTGTTAATAAAAATATACACACACATAGTGTAATAGTTAAGAATGAGCTTTAGCATCAAATCTTGGTCCAAATCCCTGTTCTGCTATTTCCTAGCATCACGACCTTGGATAAACTTCCTCTTTGATTATTAATTTCTTTATCTGTAAATGAACATAATACCAACTTCATAGCTTTGATGTGAATTAAGTTATGTATAGTGCTTAGCTGTGCACAGTAAATGCACAATAAATGGTAGCAATGGAATTCACAGAAAAAATACTAGAAGGATATACTATAAAGATTAATAGGCATTAACTGCAAAGTGGAATTCTAGGTAGATGATTTTTAATTGTCTTCTGTGTAACTTTTTGTATCTTCTAAAATTTTCACAGTAAACTTTTATTAATTTTACAATTTAAAAAAGTTTTTTAATTTTAAAAATAAAGGCGAAATGTTTTAGGTCCAGGCACTGTAACTTAAGGAAACTCACTTAAGAAAAGGAAAAAAACAAAGCAATGGAACAAGAAACAAAAGAGTTGAAATTTTAATGAAACTCCAATGGCTGTGGCCAGTTTTCTTTCTTCTGCTGTGGGCACTTAACCAAGCAGTGGCAGGCTGTGACCAGGGTCCAACATGATACCAAGTCCAGCTGGACTTTAGTTCCAGGAGCAAACGCTGCAGTTCTGCAAGAACTGCAGGCAGCTCAGGCCTACAAAACGCAGGCAAGTGATTGTGTCCTGACCCCAGGACCTCTGAGTTTAGGTAAACATTGTAAGAGTTTTACAGTGGACATGAGTTAACAAGGAATCAGCAAGTAGCAGTCCTTTCCCAAAACGGGGTAGAATTCTGTAGGAGAAGTCTTTACCTTTTCTTCTGGACATGGAGATATCCACGATTTGCATTTGCCCGTCATGTCACCAAGGGTCGTCTGTTTACCATTGTATACGTAAACTCGGCCATCTTCTCCCCCAATCAGCCCAGAGGTTACATCTGCTATCCTCAATGGGGCTGCCATGATGATTTCATCTGTCAACAAAGAAAAATGGCAGAAAGAAGTATCAGACTCCTCATGGTCATCCCCCTTCCTTGTTCCACTACTGGATCCTAACTCAACCTCCTGCAAATAGGTCTCCTTTAAATAGTCTGCCCTGATTCCTCTCTTTTTTGGGGGGGGGGGGCGGTGGCTGGTTGGTATGGGGATCTGAACCCTTGACCTTGGTGTTACCAACACCATGCTCTAATTAAGTGAGCTAACTCGGCCAGCCCCTGCCCTGATTTCATTCTGACAAAGGCTTTTGTTTCCTATTTCATCATTCATCAATACCAGTTAACATGGGTGACGCTGACGTTACCACCTTCAAGAAGTGCAACTCATTCTTGTATATCTGGCTCTAGTCTTATCTGATTCAAAATATATCTAAAGGCCCTTGGGCCACTGGACTGTCAATTATGAGGGCAGAGCCTAGAATATTCAATTAGAGGACTGGTGCACTGGGCAAAAGGACTCAATTCTTGGCAAAAGGCTCTGTTCCTTTCTTACCTAAGCCATCATCATCCAGGTCACTCAAGTGCAGAACCCCACCAAACCGGGAGAAACGGCGGTCTCCACTGAAGGTGCTGAGCAGAGAAGGCTGCGCGTCAGGTGTCAGCTTGTACATCCGAGTGGTCCCACCTTGGTGCAAGGTCATGGTCAGGAATGCCATTTTAGACACGTCATCTGAAATGAACCACAGTGCCTGCTGGTATCCCAGAAATGAAGGTAAGACATACAACACTGAATAGAATCCTATTCTTGCTCCGTGCTTGTGTCCCTCAAGTGATGCAGATCACTTAGAATCATACAGGACAGTTGGTTGCAGTGCTGGTCAACTCAGGCAGTTAAGATGGTACAACTAGCTCAGTGCTGGTCAACTCAGGCAGTTAAGATGGTACAACTAGCTCAGGCACCAAGACTAACAATGGAGCTCAGTGATTTCCCATCGGACAGGTGTTCTTTCTTCCATTTTTACTCCCTCTAATACATTCTCCACACGACCATCTTTTTTTTTTTTTTTTTTAAATCACAATGTGCCTACGTCACTCTCCTGACTTACAAGTGCAAATATCAATGGACTTTAGATGAAGTCCAAACTCCTCACCAGACCTTACATAATCTGACTCCTACTTACGGCTCTAGCACTGTTTCAGGCCACGTCCCGCTTTTCACCCCTGCTTCACCCCAGATGAACTTCAACCACAGCCCATTATATAGTAGTCCCCCCCGCCTTATGTGTGGCTTCACTTCTGTGGTTTCAGTTACCTGCAGTCAACCATGATCCAAAACTATTAAATGCAAAATTCCAGAAATAAACAATTTGTAAGTTTTAAATTGCACACTACTCTTAGTAGCACGAATGATATTTTATGCCATCAAGCTCCATCCCACCCAGGACGTGAACTGTCCCTTTGTCCAGTGGATCCATGCTATACATGCCACCCGCCTATTAGTCACTTAGTAGCCATCTTGGTTATCAGATCCACTGCCATAGTATTGCAGTGCTTGTGTTCAAGTCACCCTTATTTTACTTAATAATGGCCCCAAAGCTCAAGAGTAGTGATGCTGGCAATTCAGATATGCCAAAGAGAAGCTGTAACGTGCTTCCTTTAAGAGAAAAGGTGAAAGTTCTCCACTTGGTAAAGAAAAAAAATGTATGTTGAGGTTGCTAAGATCTACAGTAAGAACAAATCTTCTATCCATGAAATTATAAAGGAAAAAAATTCATGCTAGTATTGCTGTCGCCCCTCAAACTGCTAAAGCTATGACCAGAATGCGTGATAAGCACTTAGTTAAGATGGAAGAGGCATTAAATTTGAGGGTAGAAGACATGAACAGACACATGTTCCAGTACTACTTGCAGTTCAGGCAACCACTGGGGGTTTTGGAATGTAGCCCCCACAGAGAAGGGGGGAGTAACTGTATTCCTTAAACTTAGGCCTTCGGACATGATGTGCTCTCTGCCTGGAATAGACATCCCTTCCCACACCCCTCTGCCTGCTCCTCCTCATCCTTCAGAATTTGGTTCAGGTGTCCCTTCCTCTACAAAGCCTTTTGTACCCTCCCTGGTCTAGAGGAGATGCCGCTCTCATACCACGCTGGCCTGGTGCCTTCCTCGTACCACTTGTGTGGTCTCCTGCATCGGGCTGTCAGTTCCATAAGGGATGGGGCTGTCTCTTCGTCTTTCTATCTGCTGAACCTAGCATGTTGCTTGGTTCCACACAAGCACTCAATAAATGTTTTCTGAGTGAATGAATTTCATTTTTTTGGCACCTGGTCAGTTCGGGTATCCAAACCATTGAATGAATGAAATTTTTTTTTTTTTTTACTAAAAGATGACCAGTAAGGGGATCTTAAACCTTGACTTGGTGTTGTCAGCAGCACACTCTCCCAAGTAAGAAACCGGCCATCCCTACATAGGGATCCGAACCCGTGGCCTTGGTGTTATCAGCACCACACACTTCCAAGTGAGCCAAGGGCCGGCCCTGAATCAATGAATTTTGAATAAACTCAAGGCAAAGCTAGTTGTTAGATTTTTGTCCACAAACTTAATCACTTGGAGCCCAGCTTTGATTTCAGAAATGATTACCTTCTCCAAAAAACATAATGACATCTGTGGGTTGGCGGAGTTGGGGGTCCTCTGAGAGGCTTACTGTGAGCTGGCAGCGTGTCAGTGAGTGGATACAACCTCACATCAGTGTCTGCTTAGCACTGCAGGTAAAACTCAGGTGACTGATTTGACTTGCTTCCTCAGACAACCTTCTCTTGTGCCATTGTTTGTGGCAGATTGTCCACACAATATCCCCTAAGTGAGCAGTAAATAGGTAATATTCATGGCGAAAGCCCAAAGTATCAAGAAAAGATTAAACGACAGAAAATCCTCATTCCATTCTTTTTGTGCTTCCTGAAGGGAAACTGAGCTCCCTGGAGTGGCCGGGAATATAGTAATACAGTTGTCCCTTGGTATCCCAAGGGATTGGTTCCAGGACACCCCCACGAACACCAAAATCCATGGATGCTCAAGTCCCTTATAGTTGGCCCTCTGTATCTATGAATACAGAGGGCCAACTGTACTTCAAGCTCTCTGTCCTCTCCCCCGCCTCAGTCCTTCCAAAGGGAAGAGGATGTGTGAGCTTCTCCCACTGGCTCCTCCTGCCCGCAGATGGACATTGGCATTGGTCCTGCTGCATGTGGAAGCATCATCTCAAGGTTCAGCTTTCAGGGCAAGAATTAGAAAGCTTGAATATGGCTGCCCATGGAGACTGTGTTCTCCAATCCAGCTGTATCAGTTCTTAAAAAGCACATATTTTGATATCCATTTGAGTGATTCATGAATCTACTTCACGAATGGTTTGAAATTCACAAGGGTAGGGAAGAGTTGTGATTAATGATTACTCCCAAACTTCTACCATGCATCACAGTCTGTTAAAGTAGAGAAGTATGTAATTTAGAATAATTTCATCAAAATGCTTTTTTAAATTCTCAGAACACACAGGGCACTGTGTTACACCAGGCACTCTGTTTAGAACAGCCCTGTACTTGACTTAATCCTCTCCTGTCATCGACATGAAATTCTTGACAATTTTTTTAACAAGGGGCCCCACAAATTAAGTGGATGAAGTACAATTAAAAAATGAAGAAAATCTGAACAAGATTGGCGGATCAATGTCAATAACCTAGTTGTGACATTGCTATGTTTTACAAGATGTAATCATTGGGGGAAACAGAAAACTGGATAAAATGTACATGGATATCTCTGTACTATTTTTTACAATGCATGTTAATTTATAATTATCTCAAAATAAAAGGTTGAATTTATATATTTATATTATATCAGATAATAGCAAGAAAAATTTACCAAGACAATAGGGCACTAAAACCAAGAAAGTTTGGGAAGCTCTAACTCTTAGCACTCTGGTAGGGAGAGTGGTGTGGAAGTAAAATCAGGGCCGGCCCGGTGGCGCACTGGATAGTGCGCCGCCTGGGAAGCGCGGCAGCGCCCCCGCCCGCGG